TTTTCGTCAACGAATAAAAACGAGACGAAAATTTTAGGGAGGGACGATTTGGGAAGAGATTCATTCAGAACGAATCTGCTGCGTGGTTCGGAGGTTATGCGTACATATGAACCGGCGGGACATAAGCTAACATACACTTGCTGCAAGTTGCATAAAACGTTCAAAAATGTCAATATGTGGGAGTAAGAGAAGAGCAGACATATGGATTAATCTGACGACGCAAGAGAGAACTCAATTCGGTCCGGTTTTCTGAGCGCAGACACCGAAGCATACACGCACAGAAAGTGCGTCTCACAGCGTGCGAGTACACTTTCGCGTTGCTGCATGAACGGAGAATTACACACAAAATAATGTGGAATTGTCAGTTTTGACGGGTATTCACGTAAACACAGTTGATTACGTCTTAAGTCGATAGAGAGCGTAGGTCCGACACTGCTTCAATGAGAACTTTAAGCAATGAAATTCTGCTATGGGGCTGTAATTCCCTTGTGACGTCATCTGTGATGTCATTTACACTGTCGTGTCTGAGAATGTCATGCATGGAAGATTAGCTATCATCTTTTCTCCTGCAGAGTCTCAGACACAAGCTTGTCTTTGGTAGGGTTGGGCCGATAGACGCAACAGCACAGGCGCAAGGTGAATGTTGAGACAAGTAGGTGATAAGGTGATACTGCACATGTGTCAAGCTCATCCATCCTCGCCCATCCGCAATTGAGTATACTTTGAAAGCTGTGCGGACCAGAGTATGTGAGCGGAGTGGAGAGGCAACAATTTCCCGTCTGCACTCCAAGCATTCAATAATCACTCTGCTCCAGCTCTGCTCCGGGTTCACCATTTCCTGCTCCTTGCTCCACTTCTTACTCAACTGATCAGAAACACTGCTCCGCCTTCGCTCCATGACGAAATTTGCAGCTAAATGTCGGCGCCTATAGTTAGTTAGTTTATAGTTAGTGCATCGACATATAGCGCAACTGCACTCACAACAACCCGAGTTCGATTCCCGCCTCAAGGTCCTTTGCCGATCCCACTCCCCTCTCTCCACCCAGCGCTTTCCTGTCAGCTCTCCACTGTCCCGTCCCATTAAAGGCATAAAAAGCCCATAAATATAACTTAAAAAAAAAATAAACATTTGCAGCTAAATTATTTCAGTATGTTTTTAAATATCACAAAGTTCTGTTCAGAACTTATATTAAATGAAAAATAAATATACAAAACTAGAAGAATAGTCTTAACGTGGTTTATTGGAACACTACAATTAGCCCAATTCTATATTCAATGACTTGAACTCACTTGTCTGTGCAGAGTCTCTCTACTGTGGCGAAGCTGAGGGTTGTAGTTACTTCAGAAACAGAAAGAATATGCTGCAATTTTTCAGTTTTTAAGCTGATAAATCACAGGACAGCATTGACAATTTTCTGCACTCCTGAATGTTTCTATGTGCGCACAATCTGTACATTATGTGCGAGCTTGTGTGTTGTGCACGTGTACAGCAGTGTAGCAGCACATTAGTTTAGAGTGG